ATGACTTTGATGTACCAATGTCTTATAGCTAGAACATTAATTAGCTCAAATTAATTAAGTTGTGAAAATTTATTATTGTAAACAATTTACTTTCAAAATTATAGTGTAATGAATATCATGTTAATAACAAACAACAAGAGGAAGGGAGTGACAAAGAGAGAGGGAGAGTCATACATTCAATGAATCACCACATGAATACTGAGCATGTGCTTTAGGTTCACAGTACATACAGCATACACACAATGTAAACAATGATGTCCTGTCACTTCATTACACAGCCCCTTCTTATAAAGAAAACTGTCGCAGTCTTTAGTGTCATAATAATTTGAGAGATGAAGTAGGCAACTGAAATAGCACATATGTAGGGCCATAGCGGGGTAGATCAGCTGTAAGAGTAAGTCCTCGAGTAATCGGTGTAGTCTCGTCGAGATCAGTAGATTCAAAATAGTTCCGGCTTCGGTATTAGATCAGGGCGACAGAGTATACCCACAAGGCAGTTCAGAGACCTCTACCTTTATCCTTCGAGATATAACTCCAGGCACTTCAAGAGGTAGCTTTCTCCCAACAGTGCTACTTGCTAGGGCAACTAGAGTCTCCCAGTCAACTACTCACTGAGCCAAAGTAATGAATATCATGTTAATAACAAACAACAAGAGGAAAGGAGTGACAAAGAGAGAGAGAGAGTTATACCATGACCAAGTGATCATCATGCTCCAAAAAAGTTCATTCACAGAAAGCACTAACAATGCAAATAATAGAACCTTATTACTTATTACTATATACAGAATATCCCCCCAAAATTTGCATTTTTAATGCAAAACCTGCAGTTGCTTGTTAGTATCAAATCTTGGTTTCTTCCCCTCTTTAATAGCATCTATGAGGATATATCTATGCGTGACATTAAGTTTAAGTGGAGTAAGTTCATATACTTCATACAAATACACTGGACCAAGGGGCTCTGTCTATAAAAACAAGAATAACAAACAAATTTGTAAATAGGACTCATACTTTTCAACTTCTGAGCTACAAAATAGATCAAGACTTTGTCAAATGCCTTTCTGAAGAAACTTATTAATGCCTACAAAAGGACTAAGTAATGCCAGCTTTTATGTAATCAAAAACTTGCCACTTTATCTGTCTCTGTTTGATTAGTAGAAATAATGGAATTAGGAGGAGCAGTGTATGATTAAAAATAAGTCAAATTTATTTTACAACTTTAAATGTACCGGTCATCATCATTTATCCTTATTTCACTGGAAATAGAAGGAGTACTTTATAATAAAAATAAGTCAAACATTTTCTACAACTTTGAATGTACCGGTCGCTAGAGATGCATGAACCAGCATTCATCTAATTTTCTAGAATGAGCAGTATAACTTAAAAATAGTTCAATATAATTTTAAATGTACCGGTCACTAGAAATGCGTGAATCATCATTTATCCTTATCTCACTGGAATCAGCATTACTGTATATTAAAGATCAGTGAAGTACATTCTACTACTGTAAATGTACCGGTCACTAGAGATGCATGAACCATCCATTATCTTATCTCACCGGAGTTAGAAGGAGTACTATAATAATAAAAATAAGTCTACTATAGTCTACCGTAATTTTAAATGTACTGGTCACTAGAGATGCGTGAATCATCATTTATCCTTATCACAATGGAATCAGCAGTACTGCATATTAAAGATAAGTAAAATATATTCTACTACTGTAAATGTACCGGTCACTAGAATTGAATGAACCATCATTTATCCTTATCTCACCGAAGTTTGGAGTACTATAATAAAAAATAAGTCTAATATAGTCTACGATAATTTTAAATTTACTGGTCACTACAGATGTGTGAATCATCATTTATCCTTATCTCATTGGAGTTAAGTATAATTAAAAAATGAGTCAAATAAAATTTTACTACTTTAAATTAACCGATTAAAAGAAAGATGTACCAGGTCCATTGAATCAGTATCACTATTACTATGAATAATTATGCTGTCATTCCTGTAATTCAATTAAAATTAAGTATAAATGAGCACGTATCAAGTGCTATAAACCCACATTCTATAGTC